CTCGGAGAGTAGTGGAGTCTCCTTCCTTGGAGGTCTTTAAGCAGAGGCTGGATGGCCATCTGTCGAGGATGCTTTAATTGGGAGTTCCTTCATGGCAGGGGGTTGGACTGGATGGCCCCTGTGGTCTTTTCTAACTCTATAATACTATGATTCTATGGTTCTATGACTTATACCATTTATTGATAGCCTTTCCTTCATGAATTCTGTGACATGTCCTTTTAAAGCCATCTTAAGTTTATAGGGCCTTTGCAGACTGCCAGAAATAATGCAGCTTGAGGCCATTTTAATTATCCTGGTTCAGTGCTAGAGAATCATGGGAATTGTATTTTTTTTTTTTTTTGGGACATTGAGCCTTCTCTGTCAGAGAGCTCTGTTGCCACAGTAAACTACAGTCCCCATGATTCCTTAGTACTGAGCCAGGACAGTTAAAGTGGACTCAAGTTGCATTATTTCTGGCAGTCTGAAAAGGCCCTAAGTTGGGGGAAATCACTGCATCGTGTAATTACACTGTGGAAAATATTTCCCGTTCTCTGTCTCGACCTCCTGCTGATCTACTGTTTAGCTTCATTGGATGACCAGTGATGGCAAGCCTTTTAGAGGCCAAGTGCACAAACTCAGTGGCATTCCCACACTGATTGTCACTGGGTGCCAGAGGTGGGACTTCCTGGGCGTAAAATGGACACAAGGAAAAAAAATGGAGGACCTGACCAAATAAAAGTTCAAAACAAAGTTAAAACATAAAAAACCCATTCATATAAATACTCAATCCATCCTTCTCAGCCCTGCTCAAAATGGAGGATGTTTTGGACAGCCTCCAATATAGGAAGCTGAAAGGGAGGATAGATTTGGGAAAAGGAGGACCAAATCTGGCCACTCTGAGCCAAAAACACTTATCTTTTCTGCCACCCAGAGTGCCATATGGGAACAAAGCCACATATAAATAAAATAAATAAAATACAAATAAATAAATCCCTGTTGGTTATTCCCAGCAAGGGAAGACACATTCAATCAATTGGTGAACAGTGAATGAACATGTAAGTAGATTCCATTGATTCAATGGTTCTATTCTAGGGTGCATCAATAATGCATTTTGAGACCACTTTAACTGCCATGGCACCATCCTACAGAATCCTGGGATTGGTATGTTATGTGAGGCGCCAGCACTCTTTGGCAGAGAAAGCTGAAGTAAAACTATAAATGCTAGGGCTCCAAAGGATGGAACTACAGCACTTTAAAGTGGTGGCTAACTGTGCTATTTCTACAATGTAGTAGATGATGATAAAAAGGAACCGGCATTCTGTGGTTTGAGTATTGGATGACTTTGGAGGCCAGGGTTCCCATCCCAGCTGGGCCATGGAAACACACTGGGTCATACTCTCTTGGCTTCAGAAGACAGCAATGGAAATCCCCCTCTGAGGAAGCTTGCCAAGAAAATCCCATGATAGGGTCACCTGGTTGCCAGAAATGACTTGAGGACACATAACACACACACTCATCCAAGTCTGGGAAGAGGAGGAGGAGGTGCATCGAAAGTGGGACTTAATGATGTTTCGAAATACTGTACGCCGCCCCGATTGCCTAGCAGAGGGGCGGGATATAAATAAAAATTATTATTAATTATTATTATTATCAGGAACAAGGGTCTCCATGAGGAGGACAGAGGCGTCCATCTACCAAATAGAGGCTGCTTGGCTGGACACTGGGCAGCGGGCACAGGACCATTCTGGGCTGGGGGAGGCACCAGGACAGAGGGGCTCATGGTGGCAACACAAAGAAGCTGAAATAGTGCAAAAGCTGGGGACCAGCAGGGGATTTGGGTCTGCTCTCTTGGCAGGACTTGGCCAGGGTCAGTCCAGATCTGTGGCTTTGCCAGAGGGAAGCCTCAAGGCCTCGGAGCCCTGCCATTGCTAGCTTCGTGGCCGTCCTTCCTTTGGGCAGACTAGGCCCATCTGCTTCTCTTGATCATGGAACATGGAGGGAGAGAGGCTGGGGGAGGGAGGGGACGAGGGCACCCTGATTCCCAGCGATGGACGCATGTCTCCTTGAGCGGGTGGCCTGTGCCTGGGAGAAGGACTGGGACGGACTGAGGGAACCCTCCGGGGCTGTTCTCTCCTTCCCTCTTCCGGCTGTGGAGTGCCTTTGCACCACATGTCAATCGCTGTTGTTCTCTCTCTCTCTCTCTCTTTGCCAAAGAAGTGGAAGAGGAAGAGGAGGCCTGGCCAGGCCCCACCGACAATGGTCCAGGTGAAGAAGGCAGTGGTGGTCAAAGAGTGGATCTGGAGGAGTGGGATGGGCAGTGGAGATGGGGGCCCTGCGCTCCCACCAGCCTCCTGGGGCTCCTACTGGACTTGCCTCTGCTGCCCCCAGGCTTGCTGCCACTGCCTCTCAAATCTGGGCTGTGGGTGAGTGACGCAGGGGAGGGGATCTTCTGAGCCTCCTGATCCACTGCCACACTCCCTCTCTTCGTTAGTTGTTTCTCTCACTCTCCCTCCTTTTGTCCAGGGGGCGAGGGGCCCTATTTCCGCCCCCTCCCCCTTGTGGGCAGTCTTCCTAGCCTGTGTTCTCCCAGTGAGTTCTCATGTGCAATGAGGGGTGAGTGCAGCTGGGGGGCCCTGGTGGGAATCTCCCGCCCAGCCGCCATCAAACAAAGGGCCTCCCTGCTGTGGCCACTATGTGCCCTCTGACATAGCTTCGCATACCAGAGAGAACACACATGCCATGGGTTCGCCAACACTGCCTTAGCTTCTGGTATTCTGAGTCTCTTACACATGTTTTTCACATTGTAGCTAATTGTATTTATCCACATCAAGTTCTCCCCACCCTAACTTCAACTTTTTTTCCCCTCAAGTGAAAAAAAAAATGCAGTCTTTCCTCAAGATAGTTACTTCAGTCCCCTGATCCAGGAGTGTAATAAATGGGGATGCATGCATTTGTTGGTGCTCCTAACAAAAGGATTGGAGAACTCCCTGCATGTTAATGTGCTATACACTGGCTGAGTGTATTGGTCTTGTAGGTGGCTCCTTCATCTGTAATAGATTAGGTTTTCACATTGCATTGACTGACAACTTGTTCTACACACATCACAAGTTACATTTTATTTAATGGATAGGATGATGATGATCTTTTGTTAGATGTGAGTGTATGTGCCTTCAAGTCATATCAGTAGGGTTTCCTTAAGCAAAGAATACTGACAGGTGGTTTTGTCATTTCCTTCCTCAGAAATACAGCACCACTGGTAAATGGAAAAAAACTAACTTCCAAATACTATGAGACTTTACAAGCAAT